TTTGGATACACAGCTTTGAGATCGGCAAAGTATTGTTTGTATTGTTCAAAGGTCGTTCCGGTATTTTTCAAAGCCGTCACCACATCTTTGTCGGTAATCATGGAGTACAGCATATTGCATGCCATTTCAGAAAATGACTTCGGGAGGTTTTTAGATAATTTCAGCAGGCGTATCACCATATCGAATTGACGATTGGAAGTCAAAAAACGATACAGATCGATATCAAAATATTGAAATCGTTCCTTGAATTGATTGGGCGTATTGGCGTATGTGAGTGACGATATGAGCTCATCAGCGTCTGAGGCAGACTTTTGATAATCGTTTATTTCTTTCAGCGCCACTGCCGGAGTTTTCCCCGCCTTCAGACATTGGAAAGAATACCAAGTTCTCCGCACGATTATATAATCAGCTAAACCAGGCATAAAACGGTCGCGAAATTCTGGTCTATCAAGCATTGTTGTAATGTCGCTCTCCGTCAGTCCGCTGCGAAGTAGAAATTGATAAAATTTAGCGTAGTTCGATTTTGAAACCGCCACAGAATGATACCAGACGAAATGTAAGTAGTCAAAACACACCCAAAAGAATGGATTGTTGAAACCGATGGGTTCCTGGCCAACGAGAATCCGACGAACATTGGCCAAACTGTTGCCGTTTTCCATCCAGTTTTGAAAGACCAAAGGTTTAGACCCTGGTACGAAAAGCATGAGTCGCTCTAAATCCTCTGCGAGGGATTGAAATTCTGGCTTGGCTCGATAAGTTTCTAACAGAACCATCACTAGGGACATCGATGCGTTTTCAGTCAGTAACTTCGATACGTTCGACAAAGCGGAAAGCAGCGCGTCATCAAAATCATTTGAGCTTTTGCCAAGATTTTGATAGACGTCTTTGTGGATTTTAATTAGATGAAACCACTTATCTATCAACTCGTCGAACTTGATTGCAGTGCTTTCTGCAAGCGTCTTTTGGAGCTTGTCAATCAGCTGAGGTTTTTTGGCGACGAGTTCCTCTCGTTGAAGTTTATCCAAATTGTTGCAGAGAGGTAGGTTTAAAGCGGATTGCATCTTCCCAATCACATCACCAAATATACCTGACTCTTTCAAGTCTTTTAAATTATCCAAATTTTGCATTCTTGCTTCCTTTTCTTTGCCATCAACATGAGTCATGTTCTCCAAAAGTGCGACATTGTGTCTTAGTGCTCTATTAGAGATCGTGTAAGCCTTGTACGCTGGTGTGCAAAGTGGATCACGACCAATCGTACATGCTTTTTCTCCCAATCTCACTGCAAAGCAAAAGCTAACTCCATGTAAAATGATGGCGACGAAAACGTACACGCGCATGACAGTTCTAACAGGCTTGAGTTTTGCAGAATGGTGTTTTAAAACATGAAAAAATGGTTGGTTCTGGTAATGTATCATAATATTTGTTTTTCGCACCACTAAATTGCCAATCACAGCACTCGAAAATAGAATCAAAGTCGATAATTGCCACGACGACGTAGATACATTAAATTGAAATTCCACAGCTAGAACAGGCCATTTGTTTACATCTACCTGGCCAAATTAGGTCGAAGAGTATCTGCTCCACAGCAAAAATCACTTTTAGTTACTAAAGCAAGACAAATCGAATAACAATAGCATTCAGAATCTAAGCGAGAGGTCAGCAAGCATTGGTTCATGTTCTACACAAGAATCACTCCAGTCCGTATAGTAGAATACAAGCCAAGAAGTTGAGTCAACAGCTTTCGTGATTAATTTTTCCGTTGTAGCTGGATTTAGTTCGACAATATTCGACGCGCCATCGTATCGCGGCAATCACACTGCTCCAAATAATACTTTGCAATTAAATAGCAACAGTCAAGACTCGAATTCTTTGGATCTACGACCACAAGTTGTACCTATGCAGACGACCCTCTCCTACAAAATCAATACTAGCACCTCGAATTGTCAAGGTTCATAGTACAAGTGGACTGATCGAGGATGCAACATTGAGAAAAATGGTTGAGCTGTGCGGCATACGTCACAGATTGTAGAACGTATATATGTACAACTTGCATGCTATAGAAAATGGTGGTCGCAGAGAGTACGCAATCAAGTTAACAAATTTGCCAAAGCCCTAGAACAGGCTCTCAAAGCAAGCCACATTCCTGCATGAAACGCTTTGTGCGATGGGTGGTGTCTATGATGTAAGTGTGGCAGAAGCTCGGCAAATCGATGCATCCCGAATTGATACAACCAATGATGCAAAGGTGAAGCGCAAGTACAAGGACGCCCTGGACTCATTCATCATGAGTCGTGTGAATTTACACGGGTGCGAGACACAATGGCAAATGCGCAAGATTTCAAAATAAAATCGCATAAAGACGAGGTCGTCGAGGCAAAATGTCTTTTTTAGTGTGAGATAATGTACTTCTTAGTACTAAGAACCTATTAGACGATGTGGTCTCAAGTTTGGGAAGCTCAAGCTATCACCTCGCTTCATCGGTCTATTCCAAGTAGTGTCGTGCCATGGAAATGCTTATATTCTCGACCTGCCAAACTGGCTAAGGACCATATCGTCAAACGAGAAGTTCACAGCACCGTCGGTAGTTGCGATAACATAACAGTCACGAAGCAGACTATCACCATGCTGTCAGCAGAAGCGATAACGGTAATCGCGTAGAATTTATCATCACGTTGTCATCAGTT